TCCAGCAGCTCGTCCATCAGCCCCCCCGGGCCCGCCGGGGCCTCTGCACACGCCCAGGGGTCAAAGGTCAATTCCCTCTGTGAGCTAAGCCTCACGCCTGGGGGCGCGCACGTGCACGTGCACACCAGGCCGGTCCCGATCCGAAATCTGGATCAAATCGGGACGCCGATATTCCCAGAAAACGCCAGATCCAGACTCCAGATCCAGTTTTTATTAAAAGTCTGATCCCGCATTAGCATTAGCATCTGTAACCCACAGGTCTGTGTCCTAACCATTAAGTTGTTATCAGAGTAAACATGAGTCTGATAACTAAGTAAGTAGATAAATAACTTTAAACTTTAACACATGCTCTGATAGGCCGGGATCGGATCGGAAGAGAAAAAACCCGGATCGGGAAATCCCTACACAGAGCATTAGCATTAGCGTTAGCATCTGTAACCCACAGGTCTGTGTCCAAACCATTAAGTTGTTATCAGAGTAAATCCCTGTTCAACATGAGTCTGAAAACTAAGTAAGTAGATAAATATTTTAGACTTTAACACATGCTCTGATAGGCCGGAACCAGAACCCTCTGGCTATGTAACCACCTCCGTGCCCCCTCGGGATGTTAAAATAAACTTAATAATCAAATCATTGAAATGTAGATTCTTTATATCCACAAATCTATCCAACATTGGTCTTTTTGTCTGCTATAAAATCGCCAACAATTTGAAAGAGGACGATTATTAAAGACACAGGTAGCTCAGACTTGATGAAAGGCAACACAGAAAAGAGAAAAATCCACCCGAAGCAAAAGAAAAAACATGGTTCTGTAGCTAATGATGTGGAAACGACGTTACTACTACTTCAGAAAATGGCTAAAATGATCCATTTAAGGCTTTAAAACAAATCTAAAGGTGACCAGAATGCCCCAAATTCACCTGAATGACCAAAATATCAGGTGATATCCACATCATGAGGAATCTAAAAACATACGTCTTCTGGTTCAATTCTTTGCTGGTTAAAAGAAGCAAAACGACCCCTAAACACCTGGAGTCTCTCCTTTAACCAACACCTGTCACCCACCTTGGTTTTCGGTCATGTGACTGGTCACGGAGTAAACGTACTGCCTTTTCTGAAGCTCCCACTCCATCCTGTAGTCATAGAGGTTCGGCCTGAGGACAAATGATAATTATTATTATTAGAGGAACAACCAGCTAATGGTCCCATTTTCTGTTATGCATTCAGTCTGCACGTTATTAACCAACTATTTTTAACTCATTGGCTGCCAAAGACGTCTATAGAGGTCTTTTATGTTTTTCAACGAGAGTGGCTGGGGGACGATCTGCTAAAGCTTGTC